GGGGTGCAGCCACCTTCCAGAATGCACAGTCCGTGATATCGCCGGTCAGTTGGTCAGGCAGCTGGCAGTACTCCACAGAGGAGAAGCGCTTCTCAGAATTCCTGCCGCCGATAACGAAGACGCGCCGGCCTGGCAGACTGGCCACACCCAGTCCACTGCGTTCCTCCACGAGGTCAGGCAGGGTACTCCAGCTGCAACATGATGACTTAAAGTAAAGTCTCCTGTGCGCGTCTACGTAAGCACAATATGGCTCAGAATTCGTGTAACATGTTGACATATGCGAATGACTGATACTCTCTCGCTACTTGGCATTGAGGAAGTTTGCAAAACTGATTAGCATGTAGTCGATTCTGAAGTCATTTCAGTCATGATAGGATGCCGGCTTTTTAGCAAGCTTCTTTCTGTCCCTTAACAAATCGTATGTACTGTAAAAAGTGGATACTTAAGTAGAACGTATTTTTGTCATTGATTTTGGCTGCCTTTATAAATTTAAATACATTTTATGGAAAACACAAATGAAGAAATTATGTTTTTCGCTTGTTTGGTAGAAACATACGCCATCTTTAAAGTTCATACTAAAGGAAAGGGTATCTTCCGGTTTCAAAAAGTTTACAAATTGACGAATAATTTTGAAACTTGCTGACGGCTACACTTGAATTCAAGGTTTAAAAACTGTGCGCTGTGTACATTCTGTTTAAGGAAAAGTACGTTTTTGCCTACGGTTTGAGAAAAAGGTTACCTAGTTCTCATAAAGTATTGCAACAGAGGTGGTACATGATGCATACGTTATAGGCAGCAATAATAAATTGATGAATTCTATCTATGATGAATGATCACCTCACAATAGTAAAAAGTTCACAATTATCAATTTTTTAAAAACGAGCGATACCTTTTCTTTAAGTATAAAATTTGAAGAAGGCGTAATTTGCTACCGAACGGGTACAAGAAATAATGTTTCGTTTAGGTGAATTTATAAAGGCAGTCAAAATCAATAATACAAATCTATACTATTTACGTAGCCACTTTTTACAGTGCATACGCTTTGTAAGCTCTGTGCAGCTGAAAACGCGTTTCACGCATTTTTTTCCTGTTCTGTGACTAAGAACACATGGTGCTTTCTAAAAGAATGAAGTCAGCTTAAAATGAATAAGTGGATCTTGGGCGGATCAGTTGAATTCAGCGTAATTTTAACTATATCGGAAAATTCGATAAGTAAGTGCATTTTACACAGGTAGGAGAGAAGAGATTTCAACCTGTCTGGAAGCGATAAATGGCACATTATCCAGATGCTGTCTTCTTTACAGGAAGGGGAATATCCTGGGCCGATAAGAAATTATAACCGAGGAGGTTACTCAGAAGGAACGATTTCTGACATTTTTGGAATTTTCCAGTATCTCCGAATACTCGTTATTATTTAACTAACGTTTATTACTATAAGTATTATTTTTATATTTTAAATTCTACTTAAGTTCTTACTTATTATTCAAAGGTTTTTTCAGTTTCTTAGGATCGTTCTGTGAATTGTTAGTTATCTTTTGTAAATTTCGTTATGTTTTATAAAATAGGCTAGGAAGGTGAAGGCGTTCAACTCGGTCTTTGATTGTGCTTCTGCACACATTTTTGTTGTGCATAAACACAACTTCTGCTACAGCTACATCGTGTTCGTTTTTAAAGTGACTGCTCCTTTACATCGCCAGATTTGCCCAAGCACGTTTCTATTTTCATACTGACACCTACCGATCAGATTTTGTTCTCGAATAATCAAGAAAACAATTTAGAAGTTAAAATTGTGATGCAAAGAAAACGACAAGGACTCGATCTCAACTCATATGGAAGTGCTGACCTTTTTGTCGTTTCAGAGAAAGCTTCGCAGGTTTTGAGCCACAAGTCGCCGGTTTTACCACCACAGACAATTATATCACCACCTATCGCGACAGCTCCATGACCATATCTTGCTGTCTTCATCTGTGTTAGTGACCAATTCCGTCGCGTTTTGGGATCAAAGACGTCCACGTTTCCGGTAGCATCACCCTGAACCTTTCCTCCGATGGCACACAGCATGCCTGACAACAAAACAAATTTGAAAAGCAGGCAATAAGAAGGACAGAACTGATAAACACAAACAACAGTAGCAACAGCAAAACGGGTGCATTACGGAAAATGCTTCAAGTTTGCTCAGAAAATGATAAACATCCTGCAAACGCCATTAGCCACGTAAGTTTGGCGCCGCTTAAAAAACCGATGTGATCGGTCTTTAAACACACGACATGTTGGTTGTGCTATCGTCCACCAGTCATATGGAAATGATACAATGTGACGTTACAATCGAGGAAATGATAGGAAGGATGGTTTTTATTTCAAAGGCCTATAAATGTTTTTTTTAAATAATTGAATTTGGACCCAACTAACCTATAACATTGGTTTGCCGTGGGGAGTCGCGCTAGCTCGAGTGCAGTTTAGAATATCCATTTTGGATGTCAGTCGTCTATTAAGAAATGGTAACTAGTAACACAAGCGCTCTTTAAGCGATATGCAAATATACAAAGTGTTTTAGAAATCAGCGTGGTGAAAGCTCATTTTTCTATTAATAAAACAAACGACTTTCATTAGTACAAATTAGTAAATTTAATATGAAAATAAAAGTGTCTGAACTACCCGCTTGGACCCATTTCAAATCACGCAAATCTATTGTTCAAGTTAAGAGGCTTAGAACGAAAGGTGGAAGTCATAGACTACTAATCAGTTCAATACTCATGTTTCCGAGTCAGTATGTCAATAATTGAATAGAAAAGGTCATTTTCAGCGTGTTGACCTTGATTATAAAAGTACCAACTTTAGGAAGTAACAGAAGTTCAATTCTGGCCACCACATTATTAGGATATGCCAGGTAGATTTTGAATTACCATTTCATATGACTAACCGATAGGAAACGGAAATAGGAGGCACCCCTATTTCAGGTTACCCTATGCTAAATTTAAAGGAATTTAGGGCCAGAGTAATGACATGGATTAAAAGTAACCTGTTATATGGGGTTTTGTTTTGGCTTAGGCTTTTAGAAGAGGGAGGCATACAAACGATTCCTACCGAAATAATAGTGCATGCAGAACTCCGAGATTAAGAGCTTACTTGTCGAAGGCCGAGGTTCCAATAAAAATATGGGCAGATTTCAAATATACGAGCCATGTCGGCATCAAATC